CCTATCTGTTGGCGGAGTCAACCGCGGTGGGCGTTTTCGTCCCCTCCGTATTTTGTCGCAACCGCCGTCCCCCCTCTCTCTACCATTCTTTTACGAGTCAGTCTATGCATATGTGGCTTCTTTTCCCTTCGTCCCCCTGTTGGCGGTGCAATACCCACCTCCCTTCTTCTGTGTTATTGTTAAAAAAAACTTCATACATAGTTCCGACGTTGGTTTGACCGCTCCCCCCCCTCGTACATACGGCATGCACGACTATGGGTACCCCCTCCCCCCTTCGCTGTGGACACATTCCACGGCACCCCCTTGAAGCACTGCGAAGGCGGCTTGCCGTGCGGTGTTATCCTTGCTGTCTTCTCCTCTGTAGAAGAATCTCCGGTGCGGGGTGACGCAACTTGGGGTCACTGACCACCTCCCCCGAACCCAAACCGGTGAAATATACAACACCAGGTATGCCACACCACCCAAGATATTCGCGACATTGTGCATACGAATGAACCATCGTGCAAAGTGAGAAATATGTCGAAATGTAGTAGACTTTGGGCCACTTCCCGCAGGTAGTTTTTTGTTTTTGCAGACCTCTAAATGCCCCCCCCCGCCCCTCCCCCGCTATCCTTGTACCGTACGTGGCAGGACGAGGATCAGATGTCTGTGATAAGACTCGAGGCTCTGGCGCAGCTAGTCAGCACGCACGGCAAGGAGTTGGTGGAAGAAGAACGTCACGAGGTATACTTGTTATGTGTATTGCACCTTGTGCTTCTGTTATTGTCTTCGTTGCTGCAGCTGTTGCTACTGTTGTGGTTGTTGTTTTTGTGTTTGCTGCCGGTGGTGTTTGCTGCTGGTGGTGTGTGGTATTCGGTGTAATAGTATTTTTGGAGCAGCATATGTTTGTTGTTTGTCGTCCCATCTCTTGGGGGTACGCAGCACCAGTCTGGTGTCGTTTTCTGTGCCGCTGTGCTGGTAGTATGTTTTTAGCCACAACACATGTGTGTTGCTTTTTTTTTTGTTTGTCGTTGTTGTTGCTGTGAGTATTTCGGAGCGTCAACATCGGTTACTGTTTGTCGTCCCAGTTCTTGTGGGTATAGCTCCAGTCTACGCCTTTTGAGTGTTCGACGCACCAGCAGGGGGAGCACAGGAGGAAAGCGAAAACAGGAGCTTTGGTTTTTATGTGTTTGCTCTCTACCTTTCTTCCGGCGGGTTGGCTTTGCCTTCAATTTCAATCCCTTGAAACAAGGGTTGAGCAGTTTATTTAGTCCTCTCTCTTTTTTGTGTTGACTCGTGACTAAATACAATCCGTCTCTTCGCGTGGACTTACGTTCTCCCGGAGGTTTGGGTGACTAAATACACGCATTTCCTCACGTAGGCTTACGTTCTCCCAGAGCTGTGGGTGATGCTTCCATTTTTATCACAGCCATTCTGGCCTCGAACGAACACACCAAAACCAGCCTCCGTACAGATCCTCCCATGAAGAAGGAACCAAGCATGGGAGCGTTTACCCCCCCCCCCCCCCCCCCCC